ACCCTAACATCAATTGTTCCTATCAAGTCTCATGAATTAGTGAATGTACTCTCAGAGATTTGGGGGTCACAACTAAAATCTGGGGTGTGGGGCACCCCCCCCCCGATCTAAGCCCGCTCTCTAGGGCCTTTCGGACCAAGGTATCTTAGTGCCAATAAGAGCTACCTTACTGCATTGGAAGATGGGACTTGCAGTCTTCATTCACAATCTCCTGTGAATAAATTACACCGATTAAAAAAATAATAATAATAATAATAATAAGAGAATTGTGTAAGAGGGGGGAAATTTGTGGGTAGGGAGCTTTTAATGTCTCTTTTCTGCATCCCATGTAAGGCATTTTCAGGCCACCAAAGGCTTGACCTATTTTCATGATGTAAGTGGAACCCCCCTTTAACAGTATGTATCTTGGGCAATTGTGGAACACGAACCTGCCCCCCCAAAATATTTATACCAGTGAGCCTCCCAGGAAGTGCAGTGGAAGCGGTGTAAATCTTACTGCCATGCATTATGTTCTGTTTCCAATAATACAAGCTGTACTAGTCTCCAGCTCTTCACAAACAATAATACATCTTGGAGATTGCGTCCATGCTGACTCACGCTTCTCCGCTGTTATTTTCTATTTAGCTGAACTGGAGAGGAAGCCGTGTTTTCCCCCCACATGCTTTCAGCAGAGGGCAGAAGGATGAGAATGTGGTAATGTTCTTCTTGGGCACAATTATTTAGAGCGCTTTGTTCTACGCTCACATTGATGCGATATGATCATCGTAATCTTCACAGCTGTACAAAAAAAAAAAAAATGCGATCAGTTGTTACATGGAAACAAACGTGATTTTGTTCTGTGCTGCCTTTTCACTCTGATGATGTTATCAAAGGACTGCGTGTACGTCTTTGTTAACTGACATAAGGGACGCTATTATCTAAATATTGAAAAATGTAATACATACATCGTACAAAGATAAAAAAAAAAAGCCGTATTTCCTACCATAAAGCACACCGTGCTCTCCATCTCAGATCCGACTGTTTGTGCCAAGTATCAACTATTTCCAACAAACACTATCATACTATAGTATCATAGACACCACAGTACAAGAGTCTGCTTTATTTAACCCCCCTGGCAGTATTCCCGAGTGTAGCTCGGGGTAAAGGTTCAGTACCAAAAGCGGTAACCCCGAGCTACACTCGGGCTTACCATGTGGCGCTGCTCCGGGATCCCTCGGTCACTTACCTTGTCCTGCGCTCCCGCGATGTCCCCCCTGCAGTGTCCCTGGCAATGTCCTCCGGCGGATTCCGGCATCTGTCACCTGGGTTCTGTCCCCTGCAAGCGTCTGGACGTACAGGGGACAGAAAATTTGAAAATGACATATTGTGACATTCACTCAATACACTAAAATCACATAGTAAAACATTACTGTATCAAACCATTTCACATACATTTTGTCCCGAGTGCTTTGTCCTGTGCCCTGCCTGCATTTTTACCGTTCATACTGCCTGGAAACTGAGAAACGTCCATGGCGTCCAAAAAGCGTCCCTTTAGGTCAAAAGCGGGTTTAGACCAGCTAGAGAACAGCGATAGTAAATCAGAACCACTTGCAGAATTGAGTGATAATGATTCGTGGGGAAATTCGTCATCAGACACTGAAAACGATTTTGCGATTTTGCTCAGTGATGTGCGAACTTGGTGCTATATTTCAAATTTCAGTGTTTTTGGTTTGATTATATTATTGAAATAAATTTATTATTATTATAATATTATTTTTTATGATTATTTATTAAATTATAATTTATGATTTCGTGTTTCAAATTGTAACATACCCGGAATGTTTACTAGACTCTTGTTCAGACAGATTTCAGTGAGTTATTCCTAAATTACAGGCCTACAATAAAAAAAATACATATTTCCATGCAAAAAAATGTACCGCTTTGAGCACAGAAATATGGACATAATCAGACCGCTAGGGAGGTTAAAGTGCTGATAACCGCCAAAAACAAAAATGTAAAATATTGCTCGATCCTTGAAGAATTCTGGGTAAGGCATCTTTTACTATGTCGCACTACCCCTGCAGGGGCTGCTAGATGATGCTTGTCTCAGGTTGTTACGCTGACCTTGCAAGCTTTCCAACTGTTCTGACACTCTTGGGGGGATTTACTAAAACTGAAATGTGGAATGTCTGGTGCAGCTCTGCATAAAAACCAATCAGCTTCCAGGTTTTATCACCAAAGCTTAATTGAACAAGCTGAATTTAGAAGCTGATTGGCTACCATCCACAACTGCATTAGATTCTAAGTGCTCCAGTTGTAGTAAATCAACCCCTCTAGGTCAGCTTTTTTTGAACCTGGTGCGCAGCACCCTGGGGTGCCATCATAGGTTGCAAGGGGTGCCGCAGCTGTCACGTTAAACCAAGCTCCCCTATCCTCAGTCGAATTGTAAATCGGCACTGAGAGAGCCCGATCAGACTGTAACAGGGGCGGACTGACCATTTGGAAACTCGGGCACTGCCGAGGGCCTGGGGTCAGTAGGGGGCCCCATGAGATGCCCCAGGTACCTTTTTCATAGGCTTTTTTGAGTTTGGGCAAGGACACAGGGGCCCCATGATCCCCTATTGCCCGGGGGCTCCATGAGTTGAGTTGTCAGTCCGCCCCTGGACCTCACACAGAGGTCCTGTACAACGATCAGTGTTCTGCTGTGTCCTCCGGACACAGCGGGCACCGGATCGTAGTACTGAACGCTCCCACGTTTATAAATGGCCACCCGCCCCTGCACTGCTCCCGTTCGGCCGTTTATATACATGGTCCGGATGGGAAGTGGTTAAAGGGCCATGAGATGCCGGCGCAAAGGGGTTAAACACAGAAATAATGCTCAGCAGCTTAGTGATAAAGAATATTAGCACAGAATCTGATAAAAGCAAGAGACACAATTCTTTAGCAGACGTTGTTGTATTGAACGCTGCAAGACCGGGCCTCAAGTCACAGTTGAATAGTCCGCACAATCTCAAGGAGAACATAAAATTAGCGATCTCTAAGTAAAACACCAGGTGCTTAAGTAATAATATGACAGCAATGTCAATGTATATCTATCTTAACAGGTTAGATGCAGATAAAGGTAAACACCAAAGTGCAACAGCTCCCTCTGGACCACTAATGCGAGTAAAATATCACTGAAATACCCTGTTGGTTTAGTAATGACATTCAAGGGTAGAGTACTTCACTAACTGGATGAATAGTGTTTCATGATCTGTATAGGAGACAGTTCCAGTTTTGGGGTAGTTGTCTTCTGCTAGCAATGTTGGGGCCCATAGACGATGTTGGACATGTATAGGCCAATAATGTTAAGCAGGTGAACAAATGAAGTATGAGTAGCAAAGTATAATGATGTCTGCATGTAGTGCCTCTAAGCAGTAGAATGGCAGAAAGAGGTTGGGCATCTGCCCACTCACCAATCCTGATATGGATGCAGCCTCTGTGAAAATAAAATGTGCTGTGCAGGCTCCTGCGTCTCAGCTGAGAGATGGTCACTCAGCAGGCTGTCAGTACAGCAAAAGTAGCTGCAGGACCTTGGAGATGGACTGGGAGAGATTTGGAGTGAAGATGAAGAGCTTTGGCACCCAGTCTAGTGATCTGTGATACAGCTAGGCAGATCCACTGTCTGGAATGCCACTGTAACCAGCTAGCCTGCAAGGATCCACCGGGACTGTGTACAGGGCGGCAGCCTCCAACCGTCCTCTCTGATGTCCTGAGCCAAGGGAGCTCGCTCGCCATTCACAGTCACATATATAGGTCCTTTCACAATTCTCTTGGGTAGGTCAGCTTCCTGGGATGTGTAATTCAAAGAGCACAGAGAAATACAATGTGGGGTGGCAGCAGGACTACAGGTCCCAAGATCCTCTGCGCTATGATTCACTACCTCATCCAATCAGAGAATGCTTTGCATTCAGAGAAAAAATTCAAAGTGTTCCCTGAATGGCTCCTATGGCAAATGAGCGACCTCTTATGTTTGCCGCCCCAAGGAACATGTCCCAGTGCAAACATTTTTTTATAAATTCCATTTGGCCATGAGCAGTGATTTTTTTAAAGCATTTACAATTACAAAGGAAACTAGTTTGGACAAATTACATTTTCCTTCTGGCTTCTATTTAAAAACAAAATGGCGCACACACCCCTCTAAGCCCGGTTTCACAGTATGCAATGCAGGACACAGCATGAAATTTGCACAGGAATCACACCACATTCCTGTGCGAATTACATGCAAATGTCTGTGTGGTGTGATTTGAGCCATACACTTTGTATGGTTCAAATCGCATCGCATCTGCACCAAAAAGGTGCAGGACCCTTTTTAAAATCCATACCTGAATCGCATTGCATGGGTGTTCTCACCCATGTGATGCAATTTCTGACAATTGGATTGCGTTTTACGATCTGTTTCGGGGTGTCATTTTATCATTGACACCCGCACCAGATCACATGAATGTGATACGATTGCAATGCGGTGTAGGAAACGCACAGGATTCGCATCATTTCCCGCACCTCATTGGTGTGTACTGGGTCTTAAGGTCCCCAAGGGGAAAAAAACAATTTAAACATATCTTTTTCCTTCCTTGTGAATGTCACTTTATCCTCTAGCATTTATGAAAAAAACAATGTGTAGAGTTCCCCAAAATGCATACCAGACCTTTGAAGTAAGTATGGATTTTAAGGGGCTACCTCATGCAAAAATACAAAAATAAAAAAATAAATTGTGAACTCCTCTGGGAAATTCATGTCTGACTCAAAGGGGTTTATTTAGTAAAGATGAGGAGTGCAAAATCAGGCTCACTTCTGCATGAAACCAATCAGCTTCCAGGTTGTATGTCAAAGCTTAAAGCATTATTAAACCCAGGACCCTGCATTCACTATATCTGGTTTCCCCGGACCCTGCATTCACTATATCTGGTCTTCTAGGACCCTGCATTCACTATATCTGGTCTCCTCGGACCCCGCATTCACTATATCTGGTCTCTCTGGACCCTGCATTCACTATATCTGGTCTCCCCGGACCCTGCATTCACTATATCTGGTCTCCCTGGACCCTGCATTTCACTATATCTGGTCTCCCAGGACCCTGCATTCACTATGTCTGGTCTCCCCAGACCCTGCATTCACTATATCTGGTCTCCCCAGACCCTGCATTCACTATATCTGGTCTCTCAGGACCCTGCATTCACTATATCTGGTCTCCCCGGACCCTGCATTCACTATATCTGGTCTCCCAGGACCCTGCATTCACTATATCTGGTCTCCCAGGACCCTGCATTCACTATATCTGGTCTCCCAGGACCCTGCATTCACTATATCTGGTCTCCCACAGTACACACAACATGGAAATACAATTATCTTTTGTAAATATAAACTGCTAAATACCTTTTATCATCAGCAGTTAGAGCAGTCATGTGGCTTCTATCTGTGTCCAGCAGAGCACTGGTTAAAGCTTGTAGTAGGAATTTTCATTCTCCTCTGATTGTCCTATGAGGCTGTTCCTCTGTCTGGACAGTGCTGATTGGCCATGTGCTGATCACATGCACCCTCCCAAGAAAAAGAAAAAACTCTTTAGCAATACACACCAAACTGAGCATGTGTAGCTTGCCCCCAAGGCTCTGTTTTATCAGCAGATGGATTGGGGACAGTAGAAGGGGAGGATCATAGAAGACAGGTTCAAACAGCCTTTTTACACAATGCAGAGGATTAACACTTAGGTTCCACAGTGAGTATAGCAAGCATGATTTACTGCATATACAGACTGATTTTAGGTTTAGTAACTCTTTAATTAAACAAGCTGAGGTTAGAAGCTGGTTGGTTTCTATGCAGATGTGAGCCTGATTTTACACTCTCTCCAGCTTTAGTAAATAAACCCTAAGGGTCTGGTGTGCATTCTAAGGGGGACTGTACACAAATGTATTTATTTTTTTGGCTGTATTGGATTGCTTTTTGGATTAAGTTTTACTAAACCCACAACAGTAAAATCAGTCTGTATATGCAGTAAAGCATGCTTGTTATACACACTGTGGAACCTAAGGGGTTAATCCTCTGCATTGTGTAAAAAGGCCATTTGATCCTGTCTTCTCTGCTCCTCCTCTTTTTCAACATCCACATCTTATCTCCTGGTAAGACAGACTTTACCCGTAGCCATTCTGCACATGCTCAGTTCAGTGTGTATTGCTAGAGAGGTTTTTCTTTTTCTTGGGAGAGTGTATGTGATCAGCACAGGGCCAATCAGCACTGTCCAGACAGAGGTCAGGGGTTTTGCATCCTCCTAGAGCAGAATGAAAACTCCTCCTACAAGCTTTAACCAGTGCTTGGCTGAACACTGATAGAAGTCCCAAGACTGCTCTAACTGCTGATGAGAAATGGAATTTAGCAGTTTATATTTACTAAAATAATTGCATTTCCATGTTCTGTGTACTGTGGGAGACCAGATATAGTGAATGCAGGGTCCTGGGTTTAGTAACACTTTAATTACATTTGGCTGCATGCACAGTAATCCCAGGGGCTGTAGCTCCCAGCAATTAAATAGGATGTTCCCCAGATCTCATCCGTTCAGCAGCAGGGGCCGGGGATCAACTGGGGACTCTGTACTTATTTTTGGGAGCAGGTCCCTGATGCTGAACTGATGGGGCCCAGAGAGCTTTTATTTAGTTACTGGGACCTGTGGCTGGTGGGATTACTGTGTTTGTTATTTAAAGGGATGGACTGTCAGGGTGGAAGGGGTTTTGGCAGTATGGGGCACCATGATTTCTAATGGGGCAGGGGATGAGAGAATGCAAGAAAAAAACGTTACAATATGGAATCCACAACTGCCTATCTGCTCAAATGGTCTGTCATCTGTGCTGTAGCATTTTTAATCCTGTACAATTGTTTTCCAGTCTTTTCACACCTTCTGCGGTGATTCCCATTGGTTTAGAAATGTTCACCTGTGCAGACTAACTTGCTACTTACTCAAATAACTAGACACTAGATGGCAGTATTACTTTGAAAAGTATATTAAAGCGATATTAAACGCAAACATTTATTATATCGCAGCTTCCAAATTCCTAGATGTGATGGCTGCATTTGTTTTCTTTTAAGGCTTTCTTTCCTTTATCTTCAGCTGGTGATCCTGCCAGTAAGGCCCCTTTTACACGAGTGGTCTGGTCAGGTTCCCCTATCTGTTTTTCAGTGGGACCCACCATTCAACTCTTTTTGGCAGGCGGATGTAAATGGATTTGTGTCCGTTGACACCTGGCTACTTCTGATCCGATCAGGCAAAAACATACGGAAGGGGGGATCCTTTCCCCTCTGGAGGGCAGTCGGGTGTAAACGGACAGTCATTCCATTTACAGCCGGCTGCCCCTACATGTGCATATAGGCGGAGTGATCATGGACCTGTCATCTGGCCGCTCTGCTCTGCTCAGCTCTGCTCAGTAGGGGATCAACAGACAGATCCTTTGCTGAGCAAAATGGATTCGGCCCATGTAAAAGGGGCCAAGTCTGCTGTTTTTTTAAAAAAAAAAGCTGTCTTGCAGATTGCATCAGTTACAGGAAGGAAACAAATAATTTAACACTGACAGGGGTGCCTACAATGATCAGCGTTTATTTATTTATGTAAACCAAGGACTTTTTTGCAGAAGAATGCTGTTCCAGCACTGAATGTATGTAATGGCAAGGGGTGCTGGCAGGGGCGGACTGACCATATGCAGAGCCATACAAAGCAGCGTGCTGGTGCTGACAGGGGACAGATCTGTATTATTTACATACAGACCTCTTCCCCGTCAGTGATATTCGGCGATCACCAGGTGCCGGCGGGGAATCACCAGCCAAGACCCGGTGATCAACAGCTGAAGCCATCCGGAAATGCAAAATCACAGATATTTACGTAATTTTGCGCAGCCGTGTCGCCCTGTAGCAGTATTTCTGCTACAGAGTGGCGGGCAAGCGGTTAACATTTGGCCTGACACACATCTGAAAATGTCAAACCCATCACCTGCCCGGTTAGTAGCGCTCAGATGACAAATCGCATTGTTAATATTTCCTGTTCAAGGGGGAAAAAACTTCTTTTAAATGACAGCAAAGTTGAACTTAAGTGTAGCAACCTCTTGTTAATGCGGTAAAACACCCAATACAGCGATGTGACTGCTTATGTCATACATTCTTACACAAGCTGTCCTGCTGCCGGATGAATTTATATGTCTCTTTCAAGGTTACTCAACTATGTCTTGTCAACACAAACAGGGAAACGAAAAATGGTATTCGTAACAAAAGGCCTTCTAAGTGTGTAATAATGATTTGTAACTGAAGCTAACATTCCAGCATACATTGCTCTTGTCCAGCACGTGGGCTAACCAAGAGAAACCCACGAGAGTCTTCCATCCAGGTGTAGCGCTGACCCCCAGAGGAGTCGCTGATGTATGTGTAGCGCTACGCCCATGGGAGCCGCATGAATACTGTCCAGGTTTCCCCACAAACTTTGCCCCGCAGCCAGGCACATAGGCTCATTCACGTTTCTCTAACCTCTTGCCAACCGCGCTATAGCCAAAAGACGGCTACAGCGCGGCCACCTAGTTCTGAGAGGGCGCCCATGGACTCCTCCCAGAATCACACCCACTGCGCACCCCCCCCCAGGGCACAATATGTAACCGCTGTGTCTTTCGGACACAGCTGATGACGGACCGAGGTAAAGGGCCAATCAGAGCAGCCTTCTACCATGTGATCAGCTGTGTCCAATCACAGCTGATCACAGTGTAAACTGGAAATGCTGGTTATCAGCAGTCCTCTCCTGACAAGCCGGTAAGTGGCGTTCCTCAGAAGGAACATTTACACTGATCATCAGGGCACTGATGATCAGTGTAGTCCCATCATTGCTGGCTAATAGTGCCATCAATGCTTGCTATTAGCGCCCATCAATGATTGCTATTAGTGACCATCAGTGCCTGCTATCAGTGCTAGCTATAAGTGCCCATCAGTGCTGGCTGTCAGTGCTTGCTTTCAGTGCTAGCTATAAGTGCCCATCAGTGCTGGCTGTCAGTGCTTGCTTTCAGTGCTAGCTATAAGTGCCCATCAGTGCTGGCTATCAGTGCTTGCTTTCAGTGCTAGCTATAAGTGCCCATCAGTGCTGGCAGTGCCCATCAGTGCTGGCTGTCAGTGCCTTCTCAGCGCTGGCTTTCAGTGCTGGCTATCAGTGCCCATCAGTGCTGGCTATCATTGCCCATCAGTGATGCCTATCAGTTCCCATCAGTGCAGCCTATTAATGCCCATCAGTGCCCCCTATCAGTGCCACATATCACTGCCCATCAGTGCTAGTACCCTAATCCCATATGATGCTGACTCTTCTGGAAATGCCTAACTCTCTGAAACTCCAAGACTGAAGAAGGAGGATTTATTTGGACTATACACCCGATGAGGTTCCACAAAAAACAGCAGAGTAACAAAATAAATCAATTTTGTACAATACAACAGATCAATGTGCAGACCAAGTCATGCTAGACCCACTCCCACCTAAATTCTAAAAACCGGGAGGGGGTCCTAACTAAAGGTGATAGAGGCCAATAGGTCCTAGAGTTTCTCCAAAAGCCCTTCCACTGGCCAGTGTGGTATTCAAGTTTGGGGCCCAGAGTCCTGCATTGGAGCGCTCAGGAATGTTTGTATCCCGCAATAATGGGTGTTGAGTGGGGTACACACAGGGGCGGACTGACAACTCATGGGGCCCCCTGGGCAGTAGGGGATCATGGGGCCCCTGTGTCCTTGTCCACACCCAAAAAAGCCTATGAAAAAGCCTATGAAAGGTACCCGGGGCATCTCATGGGGCCCCCTACTGACCCCGGGCCCTCGGGCAGTGCCCGAGTGCTTGAATGGTCAGTCCGCCCCTGGGTACACACTATGAGAACATTGGATGAACAATAGTGCGATTTTCCATGAAGGTGGATATTATGATGTAACCGACAATGTTATTAACTTGTATGAAAATTCTCAAACGACAAAGACAGATGTTCCTCCTTGTGTACGATTTCTATGTTCGTTGCCAACTTCTTTGGGGTCATTCTTTGCTTCTGATCATGTGCGTTTATTTGCGTACGATTACAGTACACATTGAGTGAAAATCAGATGTGGTGTTCACGCATGATAAAAATTTTCTAGTTTGCACCATCATTTTTTTTCCCCTCCAAACAGTCATAACGGCTTGTCAAAAGCACTATCTTAGTGATCAGATAATCGACCGATCGTTCCTCATACAGAATTTTTATTCTGATTTTCTTATAGCGTGTACCCAGCTTAAGTTCCCTACCTAGGTCCCAAGTTAGAATGGTGCTGACCCTTTAAAAGAAGCCTAGGGAGATTGTGGTCGGTGGCTTCTCACTACTATACAGTCCATTATGAAGCCTCCCTG